AGATTAGCACAGTGAAAGAGAATCCATCTGTTCTGCTTTGGAGGAATAAGATGCCCAAAAGATAAGACTCCACCCAGCTAAGCTTCCACATTACAAGGAAGCCTGGTGTCTTCTCTAGAAAGCTTCAACATACCAGTGTGGTTGAAGGCAAGGAAGGGCCATCCCAAGCTGACAGCTGACCTTGGCAGTGTTATCTACAGGCAGGAGCTCTAGAGGAATAAAATATGCAAGGATTGAGGGGTCAGGGATTCTTCTTCCATGGTTCAGAGAGCTGCAAGTCCAGGCAGCATATGGCCGGGAAGTCCCTGCAAGAAGGCCGACCCTAAGATGGCAGGAGACCATGCAAGATTATTGAATCAAGCTGAGAATGTAAAATCTGGTTTGCAGTGGAGACCCCAAATGTTAGAGATGCCAGAGCCATAGGATGTCTGACAGGAAGAGCTATATAAAGGAATAGAACCAGTTCAAGAAACATATGTGTGTTGGAGGCCGTCTAAGCCATTGGAAACTAAAGTCCTAGACAACTGATATGGAGCTATAGGATCCTGAGTTTGTCCTGACAGGTTCGGTCTTGCTTTGGTCAAATATTTTCTCATATGCTCCCTTTCCTATTCTGTGCCATTGTATGCTGTTGGGAGGGTGTGATTTGCTTTTTGATTTTATAAGAGTCACAATTAAAAGATTGTCACGAGTATTAGAAGAGACTATATTTTTAAACTGTTAAAACGGAAGGACTTTTAAAATAGAGTGAATGTATTTTGTGTTATGATATGAGGAGAGCCTGTTGGGGCCAGGGGGTGGAATGTGATTTGAATGAGAACTGTCTCAGTAGACTCATGTATTTGAACACTTAGTACCCAGTTGGTGGTACTGTTCGGTGAGGTTGTGGAACCTTTAGGAGTCAGAGCCTTGCTGGAGGAGGCACATCACTGAGAGTGGGTTTTGAGAGTTCAGAACCTCACCCCACTCCCACTTTGCTCTCCAATACCTTGAAGGTGTTATCTGTCGGGTCCCTGCTCCAGCTGACTTCTGCCATGCCTTCCCCACCGTATGGACTTGCCCTCTGGAACCCTAACCAAGATAAACTCTCAAGTTGCTTTTAGTGGTGGTGGTTTTATTCACAGTTCTTTTTAAAAAGGTTGTTGTTGGCTTTGTTGTCTGTTCCTTGTATATGTGTTGTGCACATTGTACATATGTGTTGGTAAGTTACCTTCGTGACACCTGCTTTATGGTTCTAACCTTGTTTGGCAAGTCCTTATTACTGTATCACTGTCTGACCTTCAGTTCTGAAATCCTGTTTGCCACCCTGTGGCAGTGCCATCAGGAGGGCGTGCAGGAAAGTTCTCTCTACTCGTGGAACCCCTGCTTTTCAGGTGAGGAGAGCCAGCTCAGGGAGCTTAGCCTGCTAAGGCCATGTGAGTGCAGTACGTATGAGGGCTGGGGAAAGGAAGGGTCTGGTGTTTGAAATCCTGAGAAGTGGAGCTGCTGTTGTGCTCTGAGCCCATGGCTGCCTTGCCCTTCTCTGTCCGTGCCCGTGTCTGAGGCTGTAGTACCAACTTGGGCCTCTGTCGTTCATGCCGACGCTCCCTCCTCCCTCATGTCCACTCTGAAGCTGATGCACTATGCTTTGCTTTCCTGCTTGTCCCTCTTCCTCTCTGCCGTGCTGGTTTCATGTCCCCATGTTGGATCTCTGCTTCTGATCAGTTACTAATTGCTCTTAACCATTTCCTGTACTCCAGAGTGTGGTTTGTTTGTTTGTTCCTGTTTCCCCTTTAGGAAGAATGCTCCCAAGTACTGACATTCTGTTCCTGGATTAGCTCGGGAACTGTGGCCTCTGTCCTGGTCTAGTACTGGCGATTATCTGAATCCCAGTGTTCCTCATCTTGTCACCTTCCCAGCACCTCCTGTTAATGCTGTGGGTCTGTCACACAAATTTCTGTGATTCTTGCTTGTTAGGATCAGTCACCACTGGGCAGTGTGTGAGCTCTGTCTAAGATCCGGGCAGACTTGTGTTGACGGGGGTGTGTGTCTGGCTTTTGACCTCCCACAGATAATACCATGTCATTTTCTAAAAGTGATCTGAAACACGTGTTGATCTGATCCATGCTTAAAAATCATAATTTTGGTAATTACTTAGTTATATGGTTATCAGGGTATGGAGCTGTGTCCTGTAATTTTCCCAGAGTTTGTGAGGTACAACGTCCAATTGATTGCTTTCATTCCGTTTACTACGGCCTTGTCCTTTCCCTGTCTTGTGTCCTCTCCTCAGTTTCATAACAGTTTCCAGTGGTAATTGAGTTGATTTTAATTTCTTGAATGAAAATTAGGATCTATTTTCTAAGACAATTACTGTAAACATGCCACTTGCCAGTTATAATAATTTGGTCCAGAACTTGACCAAATTATTGCTTCAAAGCATTTCCATTTAATTTCAGTTATATTTGTCGGTGCACTCACTCACCCCTGCCCAACCTCCCGGCTTCCACAGAGCACCACTGCTGCCCAGGAGGCTCACTGTCTGCTGGGAGCCCATTTCCAGACAGCAATCTAGAAGTCTGGAGGCAGAGGGAGGCTGTCCACGTAGTTTCAGGCAGAACTATGGTCCAGGAGGAAGCAAAAACAGGCTGTGAAAGGTGGGAGAAAAGGGTGCATTCTGCGGATGGAGAAATCTTTACTCATAAAACCTCAGTTGCCACCTTACTCTTTTCTGTCTTCCTGCCTCAGCCCTCTGTCCATAGTGCTCCCACCAGACTACGGTCACCACATCGTAGCTGGACACTGCTGTGGTAGCTACATTGTTCTCAGCTCGGTTTTTCCAACTGCAGAGTTGAACCAAGAGTTCTGTGAGCAGAACTCTCCTTAGCTGCTCCTGTGTTCTCAGCCATAGAAGGCTTCCTAGTGCCTTTGTTTCTTTAATTATCTCTGATCTAGGGTGTTCTCTCTAGCCTACCTGAGAAGTAGTTCCTGGAGATGTGCTGTGTGCCTCTCATCATTTCTGTGACTCTGCTAAGAGTTGAACCTTTCCAGGTTTAAATAAGGTGCAGAATAGAGCAGCAGGTTACTTTTACAGCCTAACTTTTTCTGGGGTATGTGTAAATTGTAATTTTGTCAGACTAAACATAGATGGCGCTATTGCTCTATTTCATAGACTCCCAGAACACGTTCTTTTTTTTCTTTCAACATTTTCTTAGGATTTTCAGCTATAGAGAAAACCAGGTACCACCCTACTACTTTGATATTTGTTAACATTTACCGTGTACTTCGTTTTAGTTGAAATATTTTGTTACCACTTCAACAAAATCAGACAGTAGCAGGAACAAAACAATTCTATGTGATGCAGTAGAGAGCTGTGTGCTCATACACTGCTGGAATCGTGTTGTGTAAAGAGTGTGTGACAGAGTTGTCGGCTTGCGGCTCTGGAGAGGAGGCGCTAGAAGGCGATGCTGAAGATGGGCTTTGGTCCTGTAGAATTTTAGCTAACGGCTAAACAAAGCTAGCTTATAGAACACAGCTACTTATGTCCTTTGCAGACTTTACTGTTTGCATGCTTGCATTGTTTTAAAATGTTTTCTTATTTTCTGACAGATAAACCAACTGGATATGAAAGCTAATAAAAGCAACCTTAATCTTTGATTGTTTCAAATATGGCCATTTACCTAAACAAGTGCAAACTGCATGGGAGGATAGGTAGGAAGGGCAACTGGACAGCTGCTGTATGGGGTGGGATTTGAGCCACTTTGTGCTAGGACACCAGCTTTTGCTGCTACCCACAAAGCTCATTCTGCCACAGCCCTAGTTTCCCTGTGGTTTCTTAGGGAAGCATGACCCATGGAGCCATGTGCCTTGCATTTCTCTAGTGTTGTTCTAGTCCTATGGGGTCCTGGTTGTCTGCAGGTTTGCATAGTGAGCCTGGATGCTTCTTACAAAGTCCAGCCACCAGGAGCCAGATGAGTATTGAATCTCCACTTAGAAATTGCAGAGAAGAAATGCCCTCTCTGTTGCCTTTACAACTTAGGTGTGGCTGAGTATCTGATGAAAATAATTACTTTGCTTCTTGAACCTGTAAGAAAAGCTTTAGTGCCTTCTCCCCTCAGTTGTCTCACCAGGTAGCCCAGGTTGGTCCGACTTGTGACATCTCTCTTGTCATGGCTTCCCAAGTACAAAGATTTCAAGCATCCAAGGATTTAAGCCTGTATGACTCGGCCCAGCTTTTATGTTTCTTTCTAAAAAAATAAAAAAGGTGTCTCTTCAAGCACAATGGTTATTTTGAAACCAGCTTCAAAGTGAATGCACTGTAACAACACTATAAACATTCTCGTATCAGCAGGGTGAAATGGTAAAGCAAGGAGAGAAGCCCACAGGTGGTATCACTAGTACCCAGTGATGACTGTGGGTAACTAGGGCCCACCTCCTCTAGTGGGATTAATGTTGCCTATTTGTAGTGAGGGCATGTGTGTACCATCTGCTGGTCCCTTTCTCCCTGCTCCTGTCTGTGAAGGACACATTGATGTTTTCCCATTTCCCAAACTCCGAAGGTTCAGTGCTTCACAGAGCTCCCTCAGTTCTAGAGCTGTTTCAGCAGAGTGGCCGCACAGCCCAGGTGATTTGAGGGAGGTGGTGTTTCGGAGACATCTGCTGCTGAACAGCCATTATCTTAGGCTTTTTGTTGTTGTTTTGTTCTTTTAAAGATTTATTTTTTTTTATTTTATGTGCATTGGTGTTTTACCTGTATGTATGTCTGTGCAAGGGTACCAGCTCCCCTGGAACAGGAGTTACAGACAGTTGTGAGCTGCCTTGTGGGTGCTAGGAAGTGAACCCAGGTCCTCTGGAATAGTAGCCAGTGCTCTTAACCACTGACCCATCTCTCCAGCCCCTATCTTAGGGTTTATTTATTTGTTTGTTTGTTTGTTTATTCTATGGATACTTTAAGAGTCAAAGATAATAGTTTCCTCATGGTGCTTATTTTGATGGCTTGTTGTAATTCATGTTTGTCTTTTCAGGGTTCAGGATAAGATGGATGTGCTGAATTACACGACTGTTCCTATCTACCTTCCAGAAATCACGATTGGAGCTCACCAGGGTACCCGAATCTACAACAGCTTCAGAGAGGTGAGCCCTAGCCATGGGGCAGAGTCTGGGGTGCTTGTGGCCACTAAGCCACCTCTGTGAAGAATAGATCTGCTGCTGTCCCCTCGATTTCAGTCATAAAGCAGTGCATCCTCATACACCACACCCAGTACCGTTCAGGTGCATTATCTGATGGACACATACATGTCCTCTGTTCTTTAGCTGGTGTGTCCAGTTCTTCATGGCTCCATCTGATGTCACCGTATTCTTCACAGTGTGTCTCTAAGTCATGAGGCTTACATTTCTACAGTGTCCTCCAACCAAGTGCTGCAAAGCAGCAAGGATAGCAGAGAAGACAGTGGAGGTAGCAGCTACCACTCCGGTCATGTCTTCCTCTAATTTACACTCTTCTCCATGAGCCGTTTGTCCCTCCATTAGTGTGGGGCCATTTCCAGCCCTTCAGCCAGGATCAGAGACTTAGCAGGAGTAGCAGCCTGCACCGAGCAGCATCATGGAATGGAAAGAGCGATCCTCTGTCATGGTCTGCTGTAGCTTGCTCGTTATCGGAAAGTGTGAGATCACTGCATTGAAGTGGCATCGAGGGGAACATGTTAGTCCACTTCCCTGTGAGAGGTGCGTGCGCTCCTGCGGCCTGCACACCAGAAGCATTGATCAAGCGTTCCACCATGGCCAGTTTTGTTTGTTTTTGTTTTTGTTTCCCTTTCTTGAAGTATTCAATGTTTTCTTTTAAGCAAGTAATGTGGGCCTTTTTGAAAATAATTTTATTCACTATAGAAATTTGGGAGCACAGCTATAAATATCCCACCAGGCACCGTCCATTCATGTTGCTGCTGCTCTTACTGTGAGATGAAAGCAAGCAGTTGTGTGTCTCTTCCTGCGTGCACTGTGGAGACTGCAGCTTCCTCAAACAAGGCTGTGGTGGCTCCTTGCTGTGTGTGGTCTGGGTCTGGACTGACAACATCTTAGCCTCAGTGGACTTCTTACCTCCCTCTGCCGTGTAGAAGCAGCCTCATTCAGGTACTTCTTGCCTGTACTGCAGCAAGAGGGTCTACAGTATAGCTGGCCCTGCCACCTCTGTGCTGTCCTCTTTGACCTCATTGGCAGAGTGGATGTGCTGATGTCTAGGTGGTTGGTGCTGACCCTTTTGTGCTTTAGCAATGGGCTGTTCCAGTGAGTGCTGCTGCAGTGCCTCCCTTTCTCCATTCTCCAGCAAGTGTTTGTATAGCACAGCTTCTCTTGTCAGCCTCTCTAGTTCCATGAAGGTATTAAAAACCTCTGTTATTCTCAATATTTGGGATATTTATCCAGTTACAGTGGAAGGAAGGTGGGTTTAGCTGAGTTGTTCCACAGTGTTTTCTGGCCTGTCATAGGTTTTTGCTCTCTGTTTTATCTTACCTTTTTTTCTGGCTTCATTTATTTCCCTCTGCTTGCTGTAATTAGCTAGTAATCACTGGTAATTAAAGTGGTCAGAATTGACATATTTGAGTCTAATATCAGTAGTTTTCCAGTTGCAGACCGTGGGAAGTCACAGACTGCATTGAGCCCCGTTTGCCCAACTCCTGTGACCTGTTGTGATTGTGTGTCTTAATTCTCTGTACATTTTAAGTCCCTCAAGACATTATTGACTCAAGATAGGTCTGCACCACCCACCACTTAACTCTGCTGGGGCTCACATCCTTTCGTGGCTCTGCTTCTGCTTAGGATCATTCCTCCTGGAGGAATTCTTTGTTGCAGCAAATTAAAACGATATTTATTTGATCTTCATTTATCTTTTATTGTATTTTTAAATTTGTTTGAGGGATACTTCAAACTTTTAAAACTGGTAAGAGGAACTGAAGAGATGGTTCAGCAATTAGAGCAGAGGACCTGGCTTCAGTTACTAACCCCAACAGTAACTCATAACTCTAGAACTCTGGTTACAGAGGATTCTGTGCCTTCTCCATGTGTCCACTGGCACATGGTAATCCTTAGCTATGCAGTGAATTCAAGGCTGGCCAACCTGAAAAAATTACCTAATAATAGAAAAAGATAACCTTGTCTTGCTATCTGAGATCACTATAATGCCCTTTTATTATCCTATGTCATCAAACTCATTGAACACCGTTGTTCTTACTCATTGCATGGTCTCTGCACCTTTCTCCAGGGTGCATGCTCATGCATTAGGAATACCACTTCTCGGACCGCTAGGCCTGCTAGATCACACCCCAACCTGGGCTGTGGGATTGTGTTCTCTTGAGTCTTCTAGTCAACTGTAATGACCATTAAGATTGAGACACTCAGCCAGGCAGTGGTGGCTCATGCCTTTAATCCCAGCACTCGGGAGACAGAGGCAGGCAGATCTATGTGAGTTCAAGGCCAGCCTGATCTACAGAGCGAGTACAGAGCGACAGGATTTTGCTGTGGCTTTAGAGCCTGTCCTGGAACTTGCTCGGTAGACCAGGCTGGCCTCTGCCTCTCAAGTGCTGGGATTAAAGGCGTGAGCCACCACAGCCCAGCCTGGTCTCCTAATTGTAGTCCTTCCACATCCTCAGTATCTGCTGTGAGGAAATGCTCTCCCTGTATACGATTTTTTGTGTGTTTATCTGTGTGTGTTGAAAGTCGTGAGTTCATGCTGTCAGGGTCCCACTACTACAGCGTGGAGACAGCTCAGCCTTTCTCACGCTCGCCCTGTTGGCACTTATAGGACTGATACTGTGAGCAGCCTTGCCTGCTCCCCTGTTGGCCTATTACAGTTGCCATGGTTTGCTTCAAACCCTAACAATGTCTGTCACCCCACTCCAGGGAGTCACAAGCCATATTCAGCTTTAGGTTAAACTTGGAAGGGAGACTGTCTTCATTCTTGTGGAATAATATGCTTGGGGCAGAGAATTCTGGATTGCCAGCTTGTTTTCTTTCACCCAGTACAGACTTGAGCATCTTCGGATTCTGGCTCTGTGTTCTAAAGAGCAGCTTGCTATTTCTATGGCATGGTTCTTGTTTCTCCACAGGGTCTGGTTTTTGTCTGCTTGCTGATGTGGTCTTGAGCTTTGCCAAGGGTGTGTATACCTGGGGCCAGATCATGTGCCTTTGTCCCCAGTCGCCTTGAGGTTTGTGAAGCCCTTTGTCCCTGTAACTGGTCTCCACAGTCAGCGCCAGTTCTCTGCTCTCCTCGGGCTCCCAGAGGCTGTGTCTCACTGTGCCCCGTGCACAATCTTCTTACAGCCTTTCTCAGTGTGTTTCAGCCCACACATGTTCATCTGCCATCTTCCAGATCGATCGTTTTTCCTACTCTTTAATCTGCTGTTCTTATCATTGAGCTTTTAATTTTAATCATTGACTTTTTTGTTGTTTCTAGAGTTTACACTTTCAACTTTGCAAAATTAGTTTTGCTGTACAGATTTTTGAAACAGTCTCAAATAGAGTAATCTGATGACTGCAGTGCCTGTCTGAGGTCTGCTTTCCTGCCCGTCTCACTGCTGTTGTGTGATCTTTTGTCTCTGCAGCCTGGCGGGTGTTTCCTCACATCTTCTCTCACTGTGGCTGTTCCCTGTCCCTGTTGTTTGTATTTGATTAAGAATGTAAAGACAGTTTTAGACTTTGACAGTGCTACTCACCCACAAGGAGATGCCCCATGACCAAAAGCAACTTGGGGAGCAAAGAGTTTATTTCATGGTCATGGTGTTTTATCACAGCGATATACCTAAGACAATATACTAAGACAAATACTGAATAACAAAAAGAGTCTATAGCATTGAACATGTGAATTTAATTAAATGTTAGAAATGTTTAAGATTTTAAACAAGTAATTGGAAAAATCTATTTAAATAAGTTTAGCTTTTTAAAAGATATAACAGATATATAATATAATGTGATATTACATATATATCTTTGGGTGTGTGTGTGTGTGAGATGGCTGTGATGTCACCAGCTTTCAGGAGCTTTTCAGGAAGGCATGGACACTGGGTGTCAACTAAGTGTCATCCAGGTCTCCTCAGCACTTCACTCTGTTCTTCTGTGCCAGGACCCCACCTACCCCACCCAGACTTCATGGCACAGACTCCAGTTCTCTGCAGGCTCCTCTCAGCAGTGATGCATGTGCCCCTTGTCCTCAGTCCAAGTCTTAAGGAACCTGCAGTACAGTCTCAGGTGGGCACTGGTTCAGTGAATGACCAGTGTGGCCATTTGTTGACCTTTATTGCCCCGTGTCTTTCCTCTGAAGGGTCGCTCTGTCTCTGTACTGTGTGTTCCTCGAGCTTCCTCTTTGGTGACTGAAAACTGTAACCATTTAGAGGAATGTTGGTTTGTTTGTTTGTTTGTCTTTTAAGAAAACTAAGTTGTTTCCATTAAAAATGATGGGTTGAAATGAAGCATGGTAATAATAACGACTTTCTTCTTAGAGTCAGAGTTTTCTTTGCTATTAGACATTAACAATTATCACAAAATTTCCCTCTGGAAATGGCATTATGGATGAGTCAGAGAAGAACGCATGAAGCCCTCTGTCTGTTTCCCACCTAGCTATTGACTAGCTTTCACAAAGGCTTTCTCTGGCAGCGGAACTGTCTTCCAGCCACTGCACTCAAACCTCAGACAATTCTGACTTAGTGATTTGCTTACACTGCACTGGCAAGCACTACTGTCATTGCTCTTGGGGAGCCAACACTGCCTCACCCCACTCCTGGGAAGCACAGAGTGCCACCAGCAAGATAGTGAGTCCAGCCAAGCACTTGACTACAGTGTTAAGACACTTCATGTCATGAGGAAGGAGGCTAGTAAAAAGGAGCAAACTGGCTGGGTATAGAGGTACAGGAGCTGCGCACCTTGGTACTGTGGGAGGAAGGTCAAGACTTTTCTTTGGGCCGCCAGCTCACAAATAACCACACAGAGACTTATTATTATGAACATTGGGCATAAAGCTTAGGCTTGTTCCTAACTAGCTCTTATATCTTAAAGTAACCCACTATATTTATCTACATTCTACATGTGGCATTACCTCTCTTCCATCTTGCACCCCTGTTTTCTCTCCATGTCTCCTGGCATCCCCCTGTGCCTAGAGCCCTCCTCCTCTTCCATTCTTTCCCAGAAATCTCCCTTATACCTCCTGGCTAGCTATTGGCCATTCAAATTTTTATTACACCAGTCACTGCAATACACCTTCACACAGTGTATAAATATCCATGACAAGAAAGGAAGCTCAGGGTTTTGCTTTGATGACTGTGTGGGGAAAAGTGTCAGGAGAATGGGAACTGGCTAGCCAGTATTTTCTGAGTTTGTTACTTGATTTTTGTTGTTAAAAACGAAAGTTTTTGTGAATTGATTGGCAAAGAGTAAGTGAGAGGAAGTTGAAAAGATGACAGAATGAGGACTAGAGCAGGGGCTCAGGCCATGATACACAGAGGCCCAGCTGTTGCACTGGGGCCATGCTTGGGACTGTCCCTGCTCATTTCGGAAGACTTAGTTGTTTTGTTTTGTTTTGTTTGTTTGTTTTTTTTGTAGTGGCAACAAAACACTTGATAAAAACAACATTAGGGAAGAATTACTTATTTTTCTGAGAGTTTCATGGGTGGCAGTCTATCCTGGCAAGGAAGACAAGGTAGGGAACAACAACTAATATAGCAGTTAAGAAGCTGAGGAGAAGCCACAATTCCTAGGGACTTGTCCATGGTAGTCACTTCTTCCAGCTGGGCCCCAACTCCTACTTTCCACCACCACCCAAACATCTCATCATACTCTATCTATCCAGGGATCAGTCCACTTGTGGATCAGAACCATCATGCTCTTGTTTTCAGAGGAAAACATAGAGGCACAGCCAGGGGTGTGCTTTACTGTCTTCTAGGTCGTTCCCAATTCAGACTAATTATCACAAGTCTGCGCTCATTGTCTTGGCATCCAAAGGTAGCTCTAAGCATACTGTATACCCCGGCCTACTACCTGCACATGTGTTTACCAGTACTTCCTTCATCCATTTAACTCATTATGAAGAGTTGGGAGTTATCTCTACATACATGGCTTTGGCACACAAAACAATTTGTCCCTAGAAAAGACCAACATCTGTTAGCAGCTGCCTTCAGAGAGGCCTTGTCAGATGGTGTAGATCTCACTGATTTTTAACAACATGGTATGTGGGACCATGGGTTTGGAACTGTCACCATTGGGTAGACACCTGAAAACAGCAACTTCCAGAATCTGTCAATAGCCAGTGGTTCAGCAGGGACAGGAGGGTCCCATAAGTCTCTCCCTGATCTATGGTTGACTGTTGACACTGACTCTCATACAGGTGCAGTGCAGGCAACCCCAACTGCTGTGAGATCGTGTGTTCAGTGGCTGTGTCGTGACCTGAAGATAGCATTCTGCAGCATTTTTCCTTCCCGCTTGTATATTCCTTCTGTTCCCTCCTCCATGACGTTGTCTAACTAAGAGGTCTATAAAGGGATGAGCACCCAGCCGTCACTTATTCTTAGCACCTTGAGCAGTCATGAGTCTCTGCATTCACTGGTATTCACTCACAGAGAAGATTCTCTGATTGAGTCAAGTAGCATTTATCTATGAGTATAACCTTAAGTATTTAGAAGGCAGTTTGGTGTCAGGTCAGACGACAGTGGTAAGTTCCCCCTAAGAACCTTGGTTTCCCAACTATGAGTTTGAGAGCGAAGGTTTATCATAGCAGACACGTATTCTCTGCTGTGGAGCAGGCTTCAAATCTAATCCAAGAGCTGATGGTTACCCATAGTAGTGATGCCACTATTGCATTTGTGGATGCATCTTGTCTCTCAAGTTGACTTTATATTTTGTAGGATTCACACCTGGGAAAGACCACTGAGGCCTTTTCTCGCCCTTTAGTTAGCCATAGCACTTCCAGGACTGGGAGAGTCGTCTGGCAGGGAAGAGACAGTTGGCTGGGTTCCAGTTTGATTTCTCTGAATCTTGAAACCAAGGTACATGGTGTCTTATCACTTAGTTCTGGTGGGTATCTGTTGTGGAAATGTTCCTTTACACTGTGTGAAGATGTGTGTGTCACTGTGATTGGTTTAATAAAGAACTGAATGGCCAGTAGCTAGGCAGGAGGAATAAGCAAAACTCCTGGGCAGAGAGAGCTCTGGGAAGGAGAAAAGCAGAGTCACCAGCCAGACACAGAGGAGACAAGATGGGCAGTTCAGAGTAAAGGTAACCAAGCCACATAAAAGAGTGAAGATTTTAAATTATGGGTTAATTTAAGTTATAAGAACTAGTTAGGAACAAGTACAAGCTAAGGTCGAGCTTTCATAATTAATAAAATGTCTCCATGTGGTTATTTGGGAGCTGGCAGGCAGGACAGAGAAAGACTGGCTACAGTTAACCAAGAAGAATACTGAGAACCTGTATTGGGGCTTCTGTGACCAATAACTTACAAGGAGAGATTTTGCATTTGGTACTGGGATTTTTGTTCATGCAGCCTATGGAATAGTAGAAAATATCTGGCAACTGTACCTCTGCCAGAGGACTAAAATTTAGGTTGTGCAAAGAACTAAGAACAAATCTAAAACTTCAAGAAAACAGTTCAATTTAAAAATGGGCCTTGGAAATGAATAGAGAATTCTCAAAATAAGAAATATTAATAGCTAATAAATACTTTAGAAAGTAGTCAACATAATTTAGCCATTGGGGAATACAAACTGAAACAACTTTGAAATTCCATCTCACCCCAGCCAGAATGGCTATTATCCAGAAGTCAGATGTAAGCAGATGCAGTTGGGAACAAAGCACTCTTAGTCACTGTTATTGAGTATGAATTGGTGCATCACTATGGAAATCAGTGTGGAGGGTCCACAAAAAGCAACACATGGACCTGCCATATGACCCAACTCTACCACCCTGTGTATAGACCCCATTATATCCTGCTATAAAGACCCTGGTCCATAATGTTCATTGCTGTTCTTGACACAATAGCCAGAAAATTAATCAGCCTATATATTTTGTCAACAGATGATGGCTTAAAAAAAAATGTGGCATATACAAAATGAAACTGTACTCAGCTGTAAAGAAAAATGAAATGTTCAGGTACATGGATAAAATTATATATAAAATCTCCCAAATGAGATGAGCCAGGGTCAAAAGAGAAATACCACACATTCTCTCTCATATGCAGGTCCAGCTTCGCATCTTTAGATCTGTGTGCTTAACTTGGAACATACGTAGAAGCCAGGAATTAGAAAGGAGCCGTCGGGACACCTTAAGGGAGGGTGTCTGGTAGAACATAGGTGATATGAAAGAAAACGATGTTGTTGGGTGTGGGTTGCTTTCAGTCAGGGTAGGGAGGATGGAGACGTGGGTTGTGGATGGGAGAGTTAGCAGAAACAATGGGTGTATGAGAAAGAAATATCAAAACCTCTGATTTTTTTTAAGTCAATTAGAAAATAAAGTTTAAGAAGGAAGGTCTCCAGCATGGCTATAATGTTGCTTATAGAAGCCTTTGAATAGTAAATTATTACCATTTAAAGAGATTTGGAAAGGGCTTTGACTTCTTCCTGAACTGTCATTTTGAGTGTATGCCGTACCTTTGTTTGGACCCAGTTTTGCTTGACTTAACAGTTTTTACAGTACTGATCTGATAGTGACAAATTCCTTTGCCTGGCTAACTAAAAAATATTTATTTCTGAGAGGTGTTTTCAATTGATAGAAGATTCTAGCTTGACCATTCTCACAATACCTGGAAGGTTCTCTATGCCTTGTGCCTGCATTGTTTCTCCTTTGGTCTTGTTGCCCCAGGATTCTTTCAGGGTTTTCTGTAGCCCCGTTAGTACTATTTTTAAGGGGTTCATTGTGACTTGCCTCTGTGTGGTTGTCTTTGTATCTTGCAGAGTTTTGCTGAGTTTCTGGATGTGCTCTCTGTAAAGCATTTGGGAAAGGTTTCCTATTCCTCGGGGTTTGGGGAATCTATCATGTGCATTAGATGGAAGTTTTCATGGCTCACTGAAACTGTTTTGGCCATTTTCTTTCTGTCTTATTTTGAGTCAATTCTGTTATATCTTTGTGTTCACTATTTTCTATGCTGTTAAGAAATATGCTGATGTTCCGTTGTATTATTTGGATCTTCAAAGAAACAGAAGACCAAGGAAATGTTGAAGCAATGTATTAGGAGGAAGCAGAGAAGACAACTGGAAGGGGCAGGAGAGCCTGTGGCGTGCCTGGCAGGCAGTGGGGAGGACAGATCCAGGAGGCGTGTGGCCAGACTAGAGAGCCTGGGAAGAGCCCGTGGCTACAAAGTGGACTGGCACTGCTCCTTTGCCCCAGCCATTGACAGGGAGGGTGTGGCCTGCCATGAGCAGGGCAGTGCGCCCCAAGGGCCCGTCCTTCATAGCCCCCCAATAGAACTGTACTTCAGGAATCTTATTTTTGAACTTGGAACTTCTGCCTTTCTGTTTTCCAGCTCTCCCTTGTTCTGTCATCTGTCATTTTGTTCCCAGAACATATCGAGCACTTTTCCTAACAGATGCTTTAAGGTCCCTGTTCACTAATCCATCATGTTCGTCATTTCTGAGTCAGCCTGATTCTCCCTCTGGCTGAGGGTCACATTTTCCACTTGCACATGTCTGGAAGTGCATCACTGCTGCAGCACATTGTGAGTTGTATGGTTTGGAATGCTAGATGCTGTTCTATTCTGAGACAAGTGTTAGAAATCTTCTGGCTGCGGTGCAGTTACTTGCACATCAGCATTAATCCTACGAGCAGTGAGTTTTAGTTTTCCAGTGCTCTAGCGTAGCCTGTTTTGGGGGGACAGTATAACCTGAGATCTCTCTTATGCTCGTGTGTGTGAGGAGGGGCCTGTGGGAACCCATCTGACCCACCACCTAAAGTGAGTAGCCTTGGATTCATTTTGCTCACAGCTCCTGGAGGTTTTGTCCAGCCTTGCAGGATATCACCTCTGCTGCCTGGACATTGTTTTCAGCTGAAAGCCAGTGGCCCTGACAAATTCTGGAGCTCTTTCTTTGCTTAGACCCTATGTCCCTACACTTTGGCCTGTTTAGGATCAGGTAGGACATGGGACTCAGCTTTCCAGTTTCTAAATGCTTCTGATTAGAGAGAGAGACCAGATGCAATAGCACACCCTGTTGGGACACAGCTGTTACTTGATGGTGCTTCATCTGGCAGGTCTCAGTTGTCAGGCCGTGGTCCTGGAACCCGGGGCCCGGAGGCCATATGTTACAAGTTGGCCCATGTCCAGTATATGGTCAGGAGAGGGCTTTTCTGCACATGCTGCTTTGAACCTGAAGTGTCCGCTTCACTGGCTGTGGCGTGTAGAGGGGGGTATCTTTTACGACTTTCAGAACCCTACTCCTTCATGTTACTTAAATCCAAAACTCGGTGGCTTCACTTGGGATACACAAGGTAACAAGACACCTTGTCATTGCCTCTCAGACTCCCAACTGAACCTTGGTGAAGCCCCATAGTCAGCTTGTGCACAGGCGGGTAAGGTGGTGCCCTGTTTGCAAGGACAGCCAGCCTGAAGAGCAGCCAGTTTGCTCGTCCTGGTGGGAGGCCCTGGAGACCAAGAGCAAGGAGAAGAGGTGCTGAGTCAGCTCCCTTGCCTAAGCCGCAGCACAGTAATCCAGACCAGAACTTCCACACTGTCAAGTTAGAGCCATGGAGGGGTGCTGTCTACACCTGCTGTTCAGGCTGTTTTGCTTCAGCAAGCAGTTCTGTTTCTGGGAGTTTATCCGAAGCATCTACAAAGGAGAAGCATTGTAGGGAGGAGTGGAGGCTGGAAACAGCAGGACATGGCAGCACAGGTCCACTCTAGGCTGGAGCAGGTAGAATGAAGTGTCTAGGGACTCGGGCTTAGCACCCACTCCAGAGTTGGAACGAATGCAGATTCTTGTGCCATGTGCTTGAGGCAAGTGACTTACTCTTTTTTTGTTTTGTTTTGTTTTTAGTTGTTTTGAGATAGGATTTCTCTCTGTAGCTTTGGTGCCTTAGCTCTTATAGACCGGGCTGGCCTCGAACTCAGAGATTCACCTGCCTCTGCCTCCCAAGTGCTGGGATTAAAGGCGTGTGTCACCACCGCCCACTCTTTTTGAAAAAAATAAAAAATACATGCATATCTTGTAGCATTCCTTGTGTCTCCAGCTGTCCAGGGCCCTGTCCAGAGGTGTTTTGTCTTGGGCTTCATCTGGAGCCTTCTAGTGATCTGAATTGCTGGTTTAGATTCAGCATGGCTTCCAGCCCACAGGTGAACAGTTATCAACTAGGAACTTCGGGGTGCTGTGCCTTCTCCCCAGAATCTGGGGGTGCCCCTTACTGGATTTCATAAGCCAATTAAATGCTCCTGAAGAATTCCAGAGAGTGGGTTTTGTGAAGCAATTAGTAGACATTGGTGAGGCTCAGCAGGTTTTGAGGTTTTCAGCTAGTTTTTACCTAAAACTCAGGACAATGGTGCTTGAAAGCCCTGGCCCTGCCGACTGACTGGCCGCTGGAGTAGTGCAGACCTGCTCAGATAGTCCTCTGAAGGAGGTACATCTTCTGTTCGTCAGACAGAATTGTGCGAATCGGTCCAGCAAGTGAGAAGAAGCGACCTTCTCTTCAGCTGGAAGGAAGTTGGAGAAGCTCTGTGTTTCAGTGGCTGTGGGGCTGGTCTGCAACACACTGTACCTTTATGTCTTAGCACCTGGGTTCTTATTTGTGACGTCCAACTCTCCAGCTGAGGACAGCTGATGACAGGCCAGAGGCCTCTCCCACGGCTCCCTTGCTTCCACAGCCGTTTCTTGCCTGTGCTCCTTCAGACCTGGACATTTCAGTGACTTCCCAAGGCCTGTGCCATCTTCCTTACCTGCCTGCACTTCCTCACTCTTCAAAGCCAAGACCCTGGTGACAATGGCCTCTAGTGATCTCGTCACTGGTTCTCAAAGCCAGTCAACATTCACAATAGTCAAACAGGCAGTCAGAGCTTGAGAACAAGACATTTCCTAGGCTGGGTCCCCTCTGCCAGCTCTTGCTGAGTGCCTCTGCTGTCTGTTGTCCCTCCTGTCCTTATTGACATCAGTGAGAATTCTACAGGTTTGTCTCATCTAGCAGGGCTTCTCTGGGCAAGACTGTTTCATTGCAGTGGATCCCTGCTCTCGGGTGCTCCTCTGGGTACTAGATGGGCAGTAGCTGATCAGCTTGGGGTTGGGCATGTGGTCTTTACTCTAAACAGTGTTTTAATGCCTTTCCCCCATAGCTGCCAGGCCGCAAGTACAACCCTGGATACAATGAAGAAGTGGGTGACAAGTGGATCTGGCTGAAGTGAATGGACCCCTCTGCCTAGCTGTGTCACAGCCAGGAAGATGTCTGCTCTGCCCAACTCTGAACTCCAGAGCTTTACAAGACAAGACAACAGGAAAAAAAGCAATGATCGAGAGATTGCCTGAAGAAATGGTCAAAAAATCCAGTCTTTCCTGTGCCTAGTTAGTTGATTGAAAGATTCAACTTCCATTGAAAAGGTTCTGGAACCTTCCAGTTTTATTTTGGAATCATCTGGGGGAAAAAAAAAAAGCATGTCTGCTCTGGAAGAGCAGCTCACTGGACGCCCCGTGTCCCCGTGCTGTGTCTTTCAGTCCTCTCAACTTCAAGAAATAAATCTGGCTCTATAGCTCCTCCTCCTGTGTCCACACACGCTCGCGCACACGCACGCACACACACGCACACGGTGGTGATGCGCAGCCCTTCCATGCCTTCCCTGCAGTTTGCACTCACACACAATGTTGAAATGGTTTTCTGAAGCATTTCTTCTTTAACAGTGCACATTAGAGCAAAAAGGGAAAGAAGACCCCCCACAGACTAGCAGAATGGTGTCCTCTAAAGCAGGCTCACTTGATGAGCATGGAATGTGGGTACAGAGGCAAGGTCTCATACTGTCACCAAAAATCAGGGTGCCAGTCCCAAGTGAAGAAAGCAATTGCATTTTGGTTTTCACCTGTATTGGCACCTAGGGGGAAGGAGTCTTTATGAGCTAGTGTCAGTCCGTGTTGCTATTCGGGAGTTCCTCTGTAAATTGTCCTAAGCTGTAAGTTTGTACTGAGCCCCCTGCTGTGACTGTTCCTAGTACATATGACTTACATTTAGCTTCATTAAAACTTAATGAAATTTAGCACTCAGTTTCCTAGTAGCACTGGGCTCTATCAGGTACACGCAGCACATGGCAGCTGGGATTAGTATTAGACCAAACAGAAGACTTTCATCTTCCAAAACAGTCTGCTTGGCCTTATTGCTGTTGCTACCGACCTGCCATTCCTCCCTCTCTTCCTCCTCCTGAAATGGGCCAGCCCTGGAGTGTTGTGGAACCCATTTAGGAATGGCTTAAAGAAAGAGAAAGAATCTTTATCTTGGCTATATTTCCGGCCCATGCCTACGAGGAGCTGCTGCACATGTCAGCACAGTACATGCGCGCGCACACACACACACACACACACACACACCCCGTCCTGAGAGTCCACATGCTTGTTTCATTCCCAGTGGCTCTTCTCCCTGGGTGTGTGTCGCCTTTGTTTGTGTTGCTACAGAAGTCTGTCTTCCCATTTCCTGTGTTCGCCCTACGTTGAGCAAAGGAAGATGAGTCCACTTTCCCAGACTCCTCCAGGGTGAAACCCTGCAGAGTCTAGTAGAAGCTCTAATCTGGTTTCAGTGCATTACCTCATTAGTTTCACCAAAATGCTTACTGCCCTTTGGAACGTAGATCAGGGCTGAGATAAAAGCGTGCACTTTGCTTAGCCCGCACTGGCAGCCTCGGCGCTTTGAGGATCAGGAATTCAGCACTGTCTCAACACTGGTTCTGTGTGCTTTCTGTTGAAGAGGAAGTCCTCGATGACATACCGCCCTTGTGGCTGTCCTCCCCCAACACCCACACCCACCGCCGGTCTTCAGCAGAGCAAGGCTCAGCCTGGTGGCAGCTGGCATGCTCCCCAGGCATCAGACTTCTGCCAACTGCAATCCACAGTACAGCCACGGAGCCATGGCAAATAGCCTCCCACCAGGCAAAGCAGTGCAGTGAGGGCAGTGTAGCTACATGGCCACTTGTGGGTGTGAGGTAATAGGAGGGGCTAAGAGCCCGCAGTCAGGCTGTATGTGATGGGTGGGATTGTGCAGTGCAGTACAAATGAAGACCTCTCTTCCTTGCTTTACATTGGGCCCCTCTGACGGCTCCTCATTGCTTAGAAACATCCTGTGATCTGCTTACCAGAAAGGCCTTCTGTATTGGCCGTTTGTAAGCTGTGTGTGCTGGCACCAAGGAGACAGGCCTGCTCTGTGGCAGATCTGCAAGGTTAGGGCTGCTGTGCAGTAGGCAGGATGGTGCTGCACTTACCACCCTCACGTAATGTAGCCTTTGAAACAGCTGGGAGGTAGAACCTGAATCACCCTGGGCTTTACATTGAATATAAAGCCAGCCCCTGAGGGGGTTCCCAGGACCTGCAGCCCTTAGGTCCTTTTGTCCTGTTGGGGTCTTTAGAGGTAAGCTCCTCTGGAAGACAGCAAGTCCAGGATTTGACCAGAGAGTTTGAGGGAAAGTGCCTTTCTTACTTGCATGGCCTTGCCGGGAGGCCCGAGCTCTAAGTTTTGGTGTATCCCATTTTCGCTAGGACTCTGATCTGACACCCTAGGACCAGAGATCTCCAATATAGGCTTACCCCAAAGGATCAATGGCAAGGGATATTTAAGGCAGGGTGTCGTTGGCACCTATGAGATGACCTTTATGACTTTTTTAGTATTCTGACAGAAAGCTAGTCCAACAGATCTACCCTTTAAAGCTGCATTTTCCTATGAAGGGGTGGTGCCAGCAGCAGTAGGGTATTTCTCCTGTGTGCATTGGAAGCAGAGGCTCTCTGTGTTCCTCACAAACTTGGTAGCCTCGTGGAGGTGAGCAGACTAAGGGGCCAAAGCTAGGGCATTCCAGGGTCAGGGCATAGTCCAGTGGGATGTGAGTGAGACCTCAGCCGGGTCAGTGGCAAGAAACAAAATGATGCCGCCTTGGAACCGACCTGGAGCCAGGGCAATATGAAAACACAATACTAAGGACAAAGACACGTGTACTGGCTTCCCTCCTCACAGTCCTAAGTGGTCACATCCACTGCCTGCTAAGCCTAGGACCACTGCAGTGGGCACAGCCCAGTGATGGTTAGATCTGTATGTGGGATCGCCCATCCCAGGCTTTCCTAACACTCCCCATACGCTGCCTTCAACCCTTTCAACTTCAAATTACAGCATTCTGTGCTCGCAGGCCACTCCTTGCCCGTAGCAGGTAAAGAGCCCACACGGTTGGCTCTTCAGACTGTCCTTTCAAGGCCCAGGCTGCTCAGAGCAGAACAGAGCCCTGGAGAGGCAAGAGGTTAGGCAGAGCTGGAGAAAGAACCATTGTGGATAAGAGCTGGCCAATGGGGGGGGGAAGCCCTGTCTTGAAGGACCCTTTTGTTTGAAAATGGATACAGGGATACAGGGGTGGTTATATAGGCGATGGAGTCACAGCCTGTAGGTACCCTGTAGGTGGGGAGTTGTAGCCAGATGTGTGCACCTGCCCTTAATCGCCTAGTGAGACTTCCTCATTTCAACCAGCCCTCAGTCAAAACAGTTGTTTTGACAAGGGTCATTTTGTCCTTAGGCTTTTAATTGCTGATTCTGCTTCCTGACTTTCCCAGTGGCCAATCGGGAAAGAATGGCTTCCCCAAGGCCCTGCTGCTGATCAAACCCAGGTAAGGAGATACTCTTCCTTCATTATGAGAGATAAGACTCTGAAGTCCAAACTGGAGTGGGTGTCTTAGGGGGAGCGACACCTCGCTGATCAGCCTCACAGCCAACCTCCAAGCCCCTGAGCCCACTGTCATCACAGAGAGCGGGAAGTTCCAGCGTCCTTCAATACCTCTTGGCACACAGCTCCCCAGGGGTCCTGTGTGATGTCTGTGGAGACCGAATGTGGATGTGCCATGTGTTCTGCACACTGTCCTTCAGGAAGTGTCTCTCTGGAGCACGGGTGCCCTGCTGAAGTTCAGCCCTTGGTTCAGCGGCTCTTGCTGCTGTCAAGGGAGTCTTAATCTCTCACACAGCGATCAGAGTCCAGAAGACCTGTGGGCTGTGCCGACTGAGGACGGAGCCTGAGGAGGTCTGGGTGTCCAGGTTGCTCAGCCTGGAGACAGGCTCTGGGTGAGGGAACTCTCAAGGCCCACACAATGCCCTGGATCAGTATGAGCTACAACCTGTGTTTCCTCACAGCCCTGGATCTCATGTGACAGACACCCTTGCCCTCAGGATTCCCCATGCAGCTCCCCTGACAGCAACCTCTTGTCAAGTCTGCAGCCCTGAGGTGCCCTGTGGCCAGCAAGGTGACCCTGGTCCGCCCCATGTCAATGCCCAGTGGTCCCTAAATCTAGGAGCCACCCCCTTCCTCTAGTCCCCTCCTTGGACTAAAGCAAGTCTTTTGGTGGGGCTGGTTAGGAACCAGCAGCTGTTGAGGGGGGACCATCTGGGGGAAGGGTGAGCTGGCTCAGGGAGCCCTGGACAATAGTGGGGGAAATTGCAGGAAATGGGAAGAAATGGCAGATCCGGGCCCTATTTTCCAAGCTGCCAAGCTTTTTGAATATACATATAACAGGTATAATTATGTCTCTTCCTTCCAAACACTTCCAGATCATTTTTTCCCTTTTTAAACTGGACAGCATCCCATCCTTCTCGTCAGCAGTGCTCAGGCCTCCTCTCCGGCCTTGTAGGCTCCCAGAAGCATTGACAGGGCCAGTGGGAAGCCAAGAGGATAGAGCCCTGTGGGCTGCTGCAGCTACAGATGCCCCTGGTGTGTGCTGGCCCGGCAGAGCTGCCACCTCCAGGCAAGACCATGGCACTTGTCCCCAGGGCACCATGTAATCACCTTGATCATGTACCTCCAGGTGTTCCAGGTCCAAGGCCTCTAAAAGTCTGAGTGTCTAGGTGCTTATGTCTGCGTGAGAGGGAGCCAGAATCCTGAGCGTCTCCTCTGACTCCGGCTCTGACCTGGGAAGTCTTAGAGACAAGGCAGCGTCGCCAGGCTGGCAATCAAGTGACAAGGGCCAGGCAAGAGGGCTTCTTGAATCCCACCTGCCCCTGTCCATCCATTTAGACTCTCAGTGTGAGTGTCACTGGTTAAGCATGCACATGAGCAGACAGAATAGCATGTGGATGGAATGGAAGGACCTACCTGCGGGTCTAATGTCCCTGGTCCCAGGCGTCTCTGCTTCCTGGCTGCACAGGCAGTGTGAATGGCGGCCTCAAGCTGTTGCCACCATGCTATCCCCGCCAGGATGGATGGTACTCGAATTGTAGCCAGAATAAACCCTTTCTTTGTTGTTTGTTTGTTTGTTTTGCTTTATTTTGCTTTTGTTTTCAAAACAGGGTTTCTTTGTCCTGGAACTAGCTTTTGTAGACCAGGCTGACCTCAAAATCACAGATATCGGCCTGCCTCTGCCTCCAGATTGCTGGAATTAAAGGCATGTACTACCACCATCCAGACAGAATAAACCCTTTTTAACTTACTTTAGCTGAATGTTTTATCACAAAAACAAGAAAGGTAGCTAACACAGCACGTCCAGCATTTATCCTGAGAGGTAGGACATGGAAGGGACCCTGTGCACTAAG